GTCTCTGTAGTGGTGGATATGTTGTGTCAACTTGAGAATTGAGAAGTTTGAAGGATAATGTTAGAGTTTGTGTCTAGCTGTCCCCCCAAAGCCTCATGCAGTCATGGGGCTGACTTCCATAGCTTGTGATTAACTCATGATCCACTGAGATTATGGGTGTGAGTGCTGCTAGGATTATGAGTGTGAGCACCACACCCGACCTGGGGCAGAATGCCTGAATGCCACATAAGGATTCAAGAGTTGCTCTCTGCTGCGATTGTTGCCACCACTCCTCCCATTTGCACTCTTGCTCTTTGCTGCCACCGTGAAAAGCCACTCTGCCGTGTGCCGCTCTGCCTTGGAGCCAGCTGAGTATGGACTGAAACTTCAGTAACTGGAAGCTAAATCTTTTCTTCTTTCATTTTGGGTGTCAGGTATTTTGTCCCAGGAATGAGAGAAGAGTACAAGAGATACGTAACAAAATAACTAAGCAGAAACCAGGTCTCACTTTGTCAACATCCTGAGGTTGTGGAAGAGAGGGAATATGGAGCTGGTATGAGCAGACAGCTGCTCTTGTTTTGTCTACCTTTTGCCACCATGAACTGTTGCCCTCTGCCATGCCATCCTGCCTTAGAGCCAGCTCACTATGGCCTGAAACCTCCACAAACTGTAAGCTAAATAAACCTTTTCTCCCTTAATTTTGGGTATCTAGTATTCTGTCTCAGCAATGAGAAAAAAGTAATAAGACAGTCCTTCATTATTTCTTTTTCTTTTTGCTATACTGAAGATTGAATTGGACCCTGAACTCGACCTTTGAACTAAACTACATTTCCAACCCTTTTATACTTTTGTTTTTATTTTGAGGTAATGTCTTACCAAATTGGGCTCAAATTTATGATCATCCTGCATGAGCCTCCCAGAGTGTTGGGATCACAGGCATGCATCATCACACTTGGCTTAAGTCTGTATTCTTGGATGGTAGAGGATAGCTTATCCTTTAAACTGACTTTTGCACATGGCCAATTTCAGTTTATCACATGTTACTGCTGTGGTTCATCTTTTAGGGAGGAGACACACACACACACACACACACAGAGAGAGAGAGAGAGAGAGAGAGAGAGAGAGAGAGAGAGAGAGAGAATACTTAGTTATAAGCATGAGTATTCAGTCTAGCCATGTAAGCAGCAAGCAATTGCTAGAAGAACAGTATTGGTGGCTGACAGAATTTCCCTGAGGGCTCTTTTTTTTTTTGTGTGTGTGTGTGGTGCTTTAGGGAAGGGTCTATAGCATGTTCAGGATCTCATTACTAGAGCAGACTCATAGTGATCTACCTGTTTACAGCCTCCCAAGAGCTGGGATTACAGGGGTGCTCCACCTCACCCAGTCTCAATTGCTGTCTCAGGGCTCCCTGGGGGCAGGGCTAGCACTGCAGGTTTGGGGATCGAACCTTGAGGCCCCTTCGCCTGCTTGCAGGTGCTTTAATCCACTGAGCTATGTGGCCGGCCCCTTCCCTGAGGATTCCATACATTGGGTTACATCTGCCCTCCCTGGGGAGACTACTCTAATAAAAACACTTCAACATCCTGAGCTTGGTAAGAGCATCAGTACCTTCCACTCCACAGCTGGACTAAGGGCAGTGTTTCAGGATTGCATCCCTTACCTGATTTATTACTTCAGGCAATTTCCTTTACTTCTTAGAGCCTCAGCTTCCTTGTCCTCACCGAGTTCTTATCAGGAGAAGATGAATTTGAAATATGAAAAGGCTCAAAAATTTGTGAATCATATGGAAAAGTCAGTTATTCTACTGGATAGGGCTTGTGTGAGAGAGACTTTTTGCTGTATTTTATCTGCTCTTGAATAAAGTAGACTCTAAGCTTTGTATTTAAAAAGCATTGCAAAGGGCCAGTGAGATAGCTCAGTACCTGCTTACACATGTGCAGGGACCAGAGTTAGATCCCCTGCACCTGCATCGCATTCTGTGCTGGCCCCACCTCCAGGTGGTGAGCCAGCCGCTGAGGCCAGCATGGTGGCAAACACCTATAATCCCAGCAGTGAGGAGGCTGAAAACAGGAGGATCACTGTGAGTCTGAACTGCAAAGTGAGATCCTTTACTAAATACATAAAAAGAACAATGCACAGGAAAGAAATAATGAAACATCAGACTGCTTTGGGCTAGATAATCATAGCATAAGTGCTTTTTGAAACGTTAAGAATGAGGTCAGTAGTTTTCTTATTCTTCTTGATGGGAGATACCCATCAGAAACAAAAATCTGTGTCTTAACTTGGTCTTTATATTTCCAAGTAACTTTGAAGCACTCTAAGAAATGGCCCTGAAGAGTCATTCTTTCTTTTTTTTTAAATTCATGTATTTGGTACAGTGTCTCATTACACAGCTTGGACTCATAGTGATCCTCCTGTTTTCAGGGATTCCTCATGCTGGGATTAAAGGTGCATGCCACCACTCCCAGACTCCATCTGGGGGCACCTGGAGGTGGGGCCAGCACAACATATGGTGCTGGGGATTAAACCCTGGGTCCTGCACTTGCCTAAACAGGTGTTTTGTCTGCTAAGCTATCTTATCAACCCTTCAAAGGACAATTCTTGATATTCAAATTTAAAAAAAAGCTCTGGAAACCATTTTGGAAATGTATTCTATAGTTCAAAGGCATTGTCTTTTAGAGATTACTCAAAAGTATTTCAGATCAATGAACAATCAACAAGAAAGTAGAAACAAAACTTAGTCCTTCAAATTGAAGACCAAGCAATTTTCAGCTAAAGGAGGGGAAAAAAATCATGACTCATGTACTAAATCAGATATAAATTCCTAAAAAGACACAGGTTATCAAAACTAATTTTGAGAAAGCCTCTGAGTTACTCATACCGGTTTGAATCTGTAATCCTCTTGTAACACCTCCCATAATGCAATGATTATAGCTGTATGCTACCACAATTCTAATTTTAAAGATTTTATTTTGAAATGATTGTATTATTGATCATATAATCATTACGATGTTTATCATAATGAGCTATATCATTATATGATGTCTTATAAACATAAAGCTTGAGAGGAGATCCCATGTACCTTATCCATCCCCCACTTTCTTCTAGTAGTAACATCCTGTATAACTATTGTTCATTATTCAAACAAGGCAATTGACTTTGGTAAACTGTGACATCCACAAGGCTTATCAAGATGTCACTAATTTTACATGCACTGTTTGTGTGCATCTGTGTGTGTAGTTCTGTACATTTTTACTTGTGTATATGTGTTTAAACTTTATCATCAAAAATTCATTTTAAGTGTAATTTCTTGCATATCTAATTCATAACAGTTATGTATTTTGGTATGTAAATGTAGTTTCTGAAAAAAACTGAAGTGTAGAAGAGAATAAATGCCAAATCATAGTGCACCAACTCTCCAAGATGAGTGTAATAATCATGTATCACGCAAGTACTAATGAAAAATATACCAAAAACCTAGTGTAATAGAATTTATCTTTCAAACATGTATTTCCATATCAAAAGATTTTTCTGTACATGTATCAGTAAAAATAATTTTCCACATAAGTACAAATGAATGTTTAAAGTTTTAAAATATTTTATCTACTCATGCTATCTTTTTGGGTATAAAGTTTGAAACAGAATATCTCAATATTTATGAATGTTGTGTTCTCTCACCATATTTTTAGCCTGTTTGTTGAGGCATGACATGTAAAATGTTGTAATACTTAATGTATACATTAAAATTGTTAGTGTCATAGTTTGGGGTTTTACAAGGGGAACAATACAATGCAGTACACATTTTACAATCTTGTTTTATAATGAATCACCCAAAACATGACATAGCAAGAGTTCAGGAATCTGTCCTCACAGTAAAGACTAAAACATACAGCTGACAGCCTGGATCCCACAATAGTGTCCTACATGAGTCCAGCTGAAAACCTAGAGCTCATAACAGTGTCCCCCCAAGTCCAACTGGAAGCCTAGAGCCCATGACAATGTCTTATGTAGGCCTGCTTCAGCAGTGGAAGCTACAGAAAGTCTGTGCCAGGGGGATGAAGGATCTGTGTTAGCATGCTGAGGGATCTAAACTACAGCCAGGAAGAATTGCTCAAGGTAAGAACCAGAGCCCCCCACCCCCAAAGAACCACAACCATCTGCAGCAACAGTGAGGTCCCGTGCTCCTCCAATGATAAAGAAGGCTGAGTTTGCATCAGGAAAGCCAACCTGACAAGCTTCTCCAGGAGACTGAACAGTACCCCATCTTCCCCTCTGGAGCCAGGAAGTGATCAATGCTCAAAGTGAGGACCACAGCTTCACCAAATGAACCACAGCCATCCTCAGTGACCAAGAGATCCCTGCGTCCTCTGACAAGAACACCCAACTTCACCAGACCAGCTGAGAAGGATCCCCTGCTGAATGGCCCAAGAGAACCAACAACTCCTTCAAAAGCTTCTCCAAGCAGCTTCCCTAACCACCTCCCATCAGCTTCTCTAGTTCTGCCTCTTACGTTGCTGGCAACAATCCTAAGTGGGCCTCCCACACCTAGCACCATGCTAGTTCAGTTCAAATGGATGTAACAAGTTGACTACCAACTGGCAATCCACCAAGTTAGCTATTGATTTTATGCTATATATAAAATCTTCAGAGATTTATCTTTTGCAAATGAAACTTTGTACTCAGATGCATTGCTTTTATTGGTGTGGATTTTTATACCAAATTGCAAGACTAGCTGGGTACAGCACACATTATCGGTATGGTGATAAGCAAGTTACTTATACACTGGACTTCGTACTCTTCACCTTTGCCAGCAACTTATTAGTTCTGTTGAGAGGACAATGCAGGTGATGATGGCAGTGGTGGTGGTCTCCACAGTGCTGTGCATGCTGTGTGGTGACAACACTTTGCAACATGCCATTATGTTTGTTTTTCAATATGTTTGGTTTAACATGTTTTGTTTTTATACCTGTTCTTATTATGCTGAATGAGACAGACACTACTGGAAAAACAGCTGAACCTACTTTTCTCTCTGTGTACTACATTTGATTTGGATTCCTCCAAACAGCCTGAAACATGGTGATACTAGGACGAGCTCTTCCTCCACTTTCTGTCTTCACTTTGAAATACAAAGTCATTTGGAAATTTGAGAAGCACATTTTATGCTGTTCATCACTTACCATCTCTCAGTGTATCTTCAGTATCCTGTTGCTAACGCTGCTTTACAAATCAGAGTCATTTGCTAAGTTGTGGTTGATGGCGTACTTCCTGGGAATGGTATCACAGCAACAAGATGATACTTCTTATCTATGTAATGAAGGCTGCCTATTAGTGCTTTTCCACAAGTGTTTTCTCATCGGCTAATACAAAGTATGGACTGCTAGAAATCTGGCTTCTATTAATGGTAAGAAGCCACTAGTATTTCGAGATGTAACTCTCATATTTTTAGAAAAAAATTTATTTTTGCGTAAGTCTGTCATTAAACAGTATTAGGAAGTACGTGGGTTCTATTATAAATTTGTTATTTTGCAATTGCCCATGACAAATAGTCACATCTTATTTTGTAATTATCCATTTTCTGAGTATTAACCATCTGAAAAGGAAATAATTATCACATTTTTAAATGACTTAGTTCGTAGTATTTAATTTTATGTATTATCTTATTTTGGGAAAGTGGGCACTTTACTTAAAGCATCTGGTAAAATTTTAAACTAGCAAATTAAAACGTTCATCCTGTGAGGATAGATTGACTATTGTTCTTCTAAACAATAAGAATTAGTTTAACTTTTATTAGGTAGCTGGTGATAAAATAAAACATTTATGTTCTTAAATCATGTTGTCAGTCAAGACTTGGTATGCATATATGGCTAGCCGAGCTCTTCAATTCCATTCTAAACTTGGTTTTGGAGAAGAAAGCACCTCAGAATGAAAATTGGGGGGTTGTCTAAGAAAATTGTCTCTGGGAAACTGATTTCTGGCTAGAACACTTTTCAGGACTGATTTGGGAGGGAGTTAGGAGTCACACTTAGAACTCCCCTATTTATTTTCAAAACAAGATGTTATTTTTATTAGCATAAAGGAACAATAGATACTTCTTTTATAATTTTATTGAGAAACAAATATCCATAAGACAGTTTCACAACCGATTACTAGCACATTTTCAACAATTAACACATTGCATATTGTTATCTTAGTGGTTATTCATTGTACAATATGCAGACCTGATATCCTGTCTCAAACACTATTATAACAAGCCTCTCTATTCATTGAACTAAGAGAATGGAGCTGTATATCTATCCTAACTATTCTGAGTATACAGAAACAAAAGGGTCATTCATTTCCATCCCACTTTTTGGTTAGTTTTGTCAGAGATGGGCATTCCATTGTCATTTAAATATTGTAGGGGCTTGAATTCAGCAGATCTCCCAATATAGTCCAGTAATCCATAATAGTAGTGGGTTTTCCATAAGACTGGCAATGTCCAAAGTTGTTGACTTGAGCTTTTTGTAGCTCAGCATATTAATGTGGCTTCACTTTTTATACCTGTTTTTGTACTTTTCTGATGGATGGTTAAGACCAAGATAAAATAAGACCTATATAACAGGAAATGTAACTTCTGTATCTTAAGGTCAGTCAAATCCCCTCAGAATTTAACCTGAAACTTAAAAAAAGATAACAATGCTACTCATAGACTTACTCCCATACTTACAGAATGCAAAAATCATTTGTATTGAATGCCTGTCCTATCACACAAATACTACTAATTTAGGAAGAAGAGCTTTAGAACTATTTAAAAATCAAGTATTACTCCTTTTTTGTTTGTTTGTTTGTTTGTTTGTTTGTTTGTTTGCAGAACCAGGGATATGAACTCAGGCCCTTCCGCTTGCCAGGGAAGCTCTTATTCTACTGAGCCATCTCCCCAGCCCAGAGTATTACTCCTATTTAAATTTTGTATTCTGTCAAAATTCATTTCCATGGTACAAGGGCTAACCAATGAATAACCAGGACCATAATAAAATTTTACCAACCATCTAATTACATTATGAGTTCAGCAGATGCTTACTTTTTCTTAATTCAATATCTTTAAAAAGGCATCTATTGATAACTTGCAACCGCGGCCTGTTGTCCCACAATCCACCGCGCTCTTCCTTTCCAACTTGGGCCCGGCAGAATGGCTCCTGCAAAGAAGGGTGGCGAGAAGAAGGGCCGTTCTGCCATCAACGAGGTGGTGACCCGAAAGTACACAATCAACATTCACAAGCGCATCCACGGAGTGGGCTTCAAGAAGTGCGCCCCTGGGCACTTAAGGAGATCCGGAAGTTTGCCATGAAGGAAATGAGGACTCCAGATGTGCGCATTGATACCAGGGTCAACAAAGCTCTGGGCCAAAGGAATAAGGAATGTTCCATATCGTATCTGAGTACGGTTGTCCAGGAAACAGAATGAGGATGAAGATTCACCAAACAAGCTGTGTACCTTGGTAACCTACGTACCTGTTACCACGTTCAAAAATCTCCAGACAGTGAATGTGGATGAGAATTAACTTGGAAATAAAATTACAGAATTGCCAAAAAAAAAGGGCATCTCTTTAATGCAATTTCTAAGAGTTGCTGGTTTGTTTTTTTTTTTTTTTGGTAGAAATGCTAGTGTTGCAGGCAGTCTGAGTTAGATAGAAATATTGCAGGCAGTCAGGCCCTCAAAAGAAATAACAACAGCCAGATGCCTTACCACTGTGGGAAGGATGGATGCTCCTGCTGTAAATCAAAACTAAAGACTGGATCCCAGGATTGATCATTACTCAGGAAAAATCATTGTCTGAAGGCCACCAGATAAGATCTTGTTTTACATTCATGCCTGCTTGTTATGTGACTCCCTTCCCCATTTGGTCCTGGGCCTAATCAATTTTACCTAAGCAATGGTGCTTGTAATCCCATTGGTTGACCATAGTTTTGTCCCACCTCTTGTCCACCTAAGCGAGTTCCCCCTTTCTCTACCTTAGCCACACATAGTTTTACACTATAAAATTCCCTGGAAGAGACAGCTTCCTGAGAACTACCCACTCGGTCCCCCCTCCTGTCCCTCTCTCAGACAGGAGCTTTCTTTCCCTCAATAAATATGTTCTGCTCATAACCTCCATTTGTTCCTAAAATTCATTCTTTGGTTTTAGAGAACACGACCTCATCCAGGTCAGGTCCAGAGATCATTTTTCCCTATGTCACTTGGAGTTTCCCTATATTGTTTGGAGGTCACCCACCCGAGCCCAGTTTTTCTCCCTGTATCACCAGCAGAAATACCAAGAATGGTGGTGTGTGGCTGTATCCATAACACACAGAGAGGCTGTGGCAGAAGGCTCATGAGCCTGAGCCCAGCCCAGTCAACTTAATAAGGTTCTTGTCTCAAATTGAAGAAGAGATTAGGGGGCCAGGGAGATAGCTTGGTGACCTAACCGCCTGCCTGGCAAGCACAAGGACTTGGGTTTGATCCCCAGTACCACATACTGGCCCGCACAATGCAGAGTCGAACACCGAAATGGGGCATAGTGGTGCATGCCTGTAATCCCAGCACTGGGAAGCTGAGACAGGAAGATCACCATGAGTCTGAGCTGTACAGCAAAACCCTGTACCAAATACGTAAATAAATTAACATTAAAAATCAATCAATCAATAAATAAATAAACAAAATGAAATACAGTCCAGTGCCAAGATCCAGGATTGATTCTCTAATACAGTAAAACCTTGGACTGTGGGTAACATGTTCTGTGACCGTTCTGCAAGGTGAGTAAAGATTTCTATTTCTTTTTCTTTCTTTCTTTCTTTTTTTAGCAGAACCAGGGATTGAACTCAGGCCCTTGCACTTGCCAGGGAAGCACTTATTCCACTGAGCCATCTCCCCAGCCCCTAAGGTGAGTAAAGATTTCTATTTCTTTTTCTTTCTTTCTTTCTTTTTTTAGCAGAACCAGGGATTGAACTCAGGCCCTTGCACTTGCCAGGGAAGCACTTATTCCACTGAGCCATCTCCCCAGCCCCTAAGGTGAGTAAAGATTTCTAACAAATTTTAACTTCATAGAGGAACAGTATGTTGTAAAGCAGGCAGCATGTGATGCAGAACATCACACTGTTACAACTGAAGTAATGGTTCATTCTCTCTCGCTCTGGCTTTCTTGCACTTTCTTTCCTTTGCTGAGGGATTGTGGGTGATAGGCTCCCAACAGCAAGAGATTGTGGAGGAAATCTTTCTTTTTTGTGGAACTGGGGATTGAACTCAGGCCTTTGTGCTTGCCTGGCAAGCACTTATTCTACTGAGCCATCTCCCCAGCCCCAAGGAAATCTTGTTGGCAGAGGAGAAAAAGGTAGGGGAATCCCTTACCTCAAATGAGACTAGGAGAAGGTATAAAATGTGGGAAACTGGAAAATTTTGTGGAAAAGCATTGCCCTGAATAAGGCTGTTGCAGCAGGAGCAGTTTGTCATCTGTTTAACGGCAACGTAAAGTAAAAAAAAAAAAAAAAAAATCTTAAAAGGAGGCAAAATCAAGTTGTTGTAGCTCAAAAATCAGATGACAATGAGGCAAGTCCAAAAGTTAAGGAAGCGCTTTATTTTAGCTGGTACCCAGCGGCAGACATCCCGGCAAGATGCTGAGGTGCGCGCCCAGGAGGGGAAAGACAAGGGTTTTTAAGGCTGAAAACCACAAAGGAAGGGTGGGGGCAAGCAGCATACAGAAGCAAATTGCATTGGTTAGTGTAGGTTGACCTTTAAAATAATTGGTGGATTACAATACTGGATGACCAGGTGGAGAAAGTCTGGGGGGACTGGGGG